AGTATAGTATATAAAATCATACATTGCAATGTCCTACCTGTCAATAAATGCTTCAGCTTCAACCATAACAATACAAGAGCAAACAATAGATACAAACTCAAGGTTAATCGCACCAAACTTGATTGCAGGAAATACGACTTCAGCAACAGAGTGGTCAATGTCTGGAATACTCTACCTGACTCTGTGGTTTCTTCCCCAAACCCTAAAAACTTCAACCTTAGACTTTCTACTATTGACCTCACCCCTTTCCTAAGAGGTCTATAGGGGGTGTGCATAAGCGCACCAATGTGCTTACCGTCCCTGTCCTATTGTTTCTTTTATTTTTCTTATATGTATCCATGTATTCATAACTATGTTTTACTTATACCTATTATCTTGTAAGCAATTGACAAACCAAATAAAATAAAATAAAAAAAATAAAATGTGTTTCACTCGAAAGTACAAAAAAAACCCTAAGTAATTTGTCACTTGCTTCAAGCAAATTTTCATAATGGATGTCAATATCATATTGTCAATCCTCAGATGAAAAACATTGAAATTCAGGAAAATGACTGCTAGTTTGACAAGATAACAATGAAAAACCCTGTAATCTACATATGATGCTAATTCTAGAAAATCTGGCTTGGAAATTCCACTAAATAAAGTATTGGTATTAATATTATTACAAGACTCTTTATCAGTTTTCAGGTATCTTTTTAGATATTAATCAACTTAAATTAAATTCTCTGCAACTCATGACAAGTAAGCAGATTCCTATTAGTGACTTTGAAAAAGATTTGAAATAAGCAATGAAATAATTAATGATTAAATTCATCTCCACTAGGTGTCAGGCAATCTTCATCGTGCCCTAGAGTACTGATGGTGACCCTTTTGGGCTGGGTGTGTCAAAAATTCAGAAAATGCCTAGCTTTTGCTGGCATGTCATCCTCAACCACTGAACAAAAGAGAAACAATTCTTTACATATTCATTTATTTGAAAAAATATAGCCCAATCATGTATGTTGCTGTGTGTTATGTAAAGAAACATCAAATACTTACAAAAATGAAATACGACTGAATGAAACAAACTCCGGAGGCTGTGTGAGAGCACACTTCACTCTTGTGTGGCCTCAGAAAATTGCATGAGAACAGAGTGCTTTTGAATAGTTGTGGCTGGATGTTGGGGCATGTTGATATGTCACTCAAAACATGGCGTATTGCCTTTGATATGCATGTCATAGGTTCACCATAACTGCTTTGATATGCATGTCATAGGTTCACCATAACTGCTCTAGGATTTCTTACTAAAGGATTTTTATCCTTGATGAACAATTTCTGATCTGCTTCTCAAAATATATGTGTAGCAACCCATATGTTCCTTCCTGACAAATTTTCTGTAGCAGTAAAAAAATGGAAACAATCATGAGAAAAGAAATCAAGGTTAGTAACAAAGCAACACTGAACTGGAAGAGTCCATCTGAACCAGTGTTCCTTAAGGTATGGTCCTTTCATGAGCTCACAAAATCAAAACGATTTGCCAGCATTTCGTAAAATAATAGAAAATTAAAATCCCATCTAATAATTCTGAGTGAATGCATCCACTTTAAATGTATAGCTAATTTCAAGCATTCACTCAGTCATATACCCATAAAAGAAACCTTTGAATTTGTCAATCCTGAGAAGGAAATAGCCCAACCCTGAAACATTAACACTAACTAACATCCCCCACCCAGCAGATCATGAAACTGAAAGTCTCAATCCTTTTATTGTTTATCTTTAGCAAGCTTTGCTATGTTATAAAGTTTAAAATACTGTAAGGAAACCTATAGCGTCTCTCCATGTTTTTTCACTTTCCAGGTTGTATCTATTGCTTTCTTTGTTCCTGCCCTTTCCCAAATACCCTTAAACCACTAAGCCCTTTATAGATTTTTGTTCAAAATTGTGCATATAGACTGTGTTTTTTCCAGGGAAATTCTTTGCATCACCTGCTTTGACAGCTTCATTTTTCTTTTTACCATACTATGGTCTCAGATACCCACAGAAATTTTTTTTCCTTAAAAACATTAAGTAATTGACGTGGTTTTTTTTAAATCTGAGTTTTAAGGGATGGACATTCATTTTGCTTTTTTGCCTTGTATGTGTTGGTGAGTTTCTAAAGGCTATTTATCTATGAAGCATGAATGCTAATTCTGTGATAATCATTTACCACAGTTTGTGAGTATGATCAGAAATTTGAACTAACTCCCCAAAATGTTCAAAGATAAGTATTATGCACTTTACAATTTGGGGAAAAGCTCTCATATTCCAGAATTAGTCCATACACCTGCACAAACAGGTATGAAACGAGTGCCTGCTAATGGGACTTTCTGAATGCATATGGTCTTTGCGCAAAAGCCGGTTACTTTTGATTAAAAGGATAATATTATCCCCACATGATTTGATAAAATGTTGCTTGCTGAAAGTCAGTGTATATTACTTCAAGATAGATGGGGTGAAGAATCTGACTCAGTAGAAGGCAGTTCTCTCTTTTGGTAATGTTGTCATTATCATCATCATAATCATAATCATCATCAGGCAACAGTAACAATAAATCAATTGTTTTTTTAAAGAATTTTCAGATTCCAGTACAACTACCAGGATGATTAGGGGACTGGAGACTAAAACATTTGAAGAACAGTTACAGGAACTGGGCATGGCTAGTCTAGTGAAGAGAAGGACCAGAGGAGACATGATAGCACTGTTCCAGTATCTGGGGTTTCAACAGAGGGGAAGGGATCAGGCTATTTTCCAAGGCACCTAAAGGCCAGACAAGGAATAATGGATGGAAACTGATCAAAGAGAGATTCAACCTAGAAATAAGGAGAAATTTTCTTGCCTTCAGAAGTTGTGGGACTTTCATCACTGGAGGCCTTCAAGAAGAGATTGGACTCCCATCTGTCAGAAATGGTGTAGAGTCTCCTGCTTGGGCGGGGGAGTGGGGAGTTGGACTAGATGACCTAAAAGGTCCCTTCCAACTCTGTTAATCTGTAAAGTACTTGATAATTAATAGGATACAGGAAAACAGGTAACCTAATTTGGAAAGAAAAGGGTCACCGTAGGTTTTCCAATTATTTTGTTAACTAGATTTCTCATCTGTGAGAGCCAGCATGTCAGTTTACTGTCCCTGCCTAATTTTCTAAAAAACAACAACAGGAGGAGGGGAATTAAAGCATAAGAATGGGTGCTCAGTTACCCCTTCCCCAACTGCCTTTTTCTAGTTGAAACTGCTTTTCTCAAAATGTGCATTTCCCTCCTTATGGTACAGATTAGCTCACTCAAAGAAAAACAGCCAGGAAAGGGAAGAAGAAATTCTGAAGAGGATCAACAGCCCCTCTCCATCCCTGCATTCTGTGCTTTATATTTATTTTCCCCTCCCTCTGTTTCAGAGGAACCTGGCAGTAACATATGGCTGCTGCCATCACGTCTAGCTTGGCCCTTCTTTGCTAGTGGCGGTGGTAGCAGCAGCGTGTGCCTTTTCTTAGCTGCTGATTACTTCAAGATGTTAAACTGTTGCTGGGGCCAAAGGAGACAAGCAGAAACTCAGTACATTGCTGGAAGCACAGCTTGGAATAGATACTGAATTGGAATATATACTGCACATTTTTCAAAAATTAAAAAAAAAGAATGTATTGGTTTCCTGTCCTCATTTTTATTTATTTGCTTTTGCCATCCATTTTACCATCCATGTCTTTGATGTTCTTCTATTTTACGACAGAAATATATGTTAATCTATAGCAGCAACTATAATGAAAGAGTCTTGGAACCCCTAAAATATGAATATATTTATTACTAAATCAAAGATATCTAATGTAATGCTAATCTAGCAAAATTATAGAAAATCTTTCCTGTCAAAAAGTAAACATTTCAGATCCTATGAAAGTTCAGGTCAGATTTAAACTATATGTACCATTAATAAACATGTAATCATGTCTCTCATTCTCTCCCCTCACCCCTGCCATACCATTCCCCATTTTATGGAAAAATAAACATTGTGGATTGGATCTTGAATGTGAAAGCTGAGAGAAAGCTTTTAACTATTTATTCCCTGCTAGGTTTTCTTTCCTGATTAATCATTTAGATTTGAAAAACTCAATCTTTTTCAGGGGACTTTTTAGGACAACAATGATTTGCATAATGAGCCTCACTTGAATTACTTTATAGTTATCTGGTAAACTTTTTTTTAAATATGGCAGCTAAATCATACATCATTTATAGGGCAAAGTTTATAGCTTGGTGGAGATGTCATAAGTTCTAGAGAATTTAGAAAGTCATAGTTTTTTAGAAAGATAATATTTTAGCAGATATCAGGTTATGGAGAAATCATTCTCCAATTATCAGAGGAATAGTAGAGAGAATCTAAATAAAGCCTATTAAATCCCACCAGTGACGTAAATCCCATCATTTTATCTCTAAAACTACAAAAAGAATAGTTGAGATTCAAGAATTCTTTATAACACCATAGACTTTCCTCTGATGCTATCTAACCATACAATGCCTGCACGTAAACCTGTATTGAGGGAGAAAATTTAATTTAAAAAAAAAAACACCTTGGGAAATGCAAGTAACATTCCAGAGTTCATTTCTACAACAATCTCAATATTAAAGCTTGACAAAGCAGTATCGGTGGTTTGCATTTCACGAAGGTAACCCCGTTTGCAGTCTTCTGCAATCAGAGCCCCCAGAATACCAGGACGCTTATCATCCTTCTCCATCAGGCTCCATCAGGTGACTGCAGTTCTCCAAGGGCGCGCTCGCTCGCTCTTTCCTTCCCTCTGTCTCTCTCCTTCTGGATGCCATTTCTCTACATTGGAGCCAATCCCGCTCTCCCAATCCAGAATTCCTCGGCCCCCCTCGTCCCCCGCCCCCCCGCGTCCTCCTCTATCCGCTCTCAGCCTCAGGGCAGAGGCCCGTCCCACCTCGCGTAACCCACCTCTCGCCAACAGTACCGAGTTGGAGGCGGGTCTTTCTCCTTGGATCCGCCTCTTCGCGAGTTGCCCGAGAACTTTGTTTTGAGCCAGCAATCTGGCCGGAGGGAAGTTTTGTGGCGGCAGCTCCGAGCCCGAGGCGACCGCGGGTCGGGGTGGTGAGAAAGGGGGATCCCCAGGGTGCCCGGATCAGATTCTAAAGAAGCCTGCCTGGCCGCCATGGAAGGGTCTCGGGGGCTGCCACTGTTACTGCTGCTGCTGCTGCTGCTCTCCCCCGTGGAAGGTAAGGCGTTCCTCCCGTCTGCTTGGCTCCCACGGGCGGGGCGCGAGCAATTCTTTGGTTCCCCCCTTATGGAGGTGGCGACGGAGGGTCCCTGGGTCCTCCTCTCCGCACAGGTGGCCAAAAGGCACTGCGCCTCACCGGGGGGCGATCCTGAATATTAGAGGGCGCCCCAAGAGACTTCCCAACGTCGGGGTGGAAGGCTGATGGGTCGCGATCTGACACCTGCCATTGTATAAAGAGAAAAGGCTACAAGCCGGTCCTCACCGCAGAGACTGGTGGACAGAGTACGCAGGGGTTTTAAAAACACCCATAATGAATGTCTATGGAGATTCTCACTCATTCAGGCCCTGGTTGTCCCAAAGTTGCTTTTTTCAAAACAACAACAACTGGACCTTCTTTGTCATGAGAAGTCCAGATGCCTTTTGAAAAAGCACCTTTAGGACACAGTATGAATGCTGATTTCCATTTCCCACATACCAAGTATCTCTGACTAGTTTCTATCGCAAAGACAGGGCTATGCAGAACCAGAAAGTTGGACGTGGGTTTTGTCTGAACTCACCAAATTCTCAAATGCTTCCCAATACTAACGGGGAGCCAAGTCCAAATGCAAACCTCAATTGGAGGGGCGCGCTAGGCTTCTGGGAATGCAGTGAGCGAAGACAGCTGTCTGTCTGGCGCCTGTTTTCCTTCCTTCTTCTGGATGAGGCTCTAGTACTCCGGCTGAACTACTTAGCCAGTGGGCAGCAGGGAACTTGAATCCTCTCGGTGAAATTGTAGAGGAAGCTGGCATCTGCAGAGTAAGCCCCTCTGAAGCCCTTCTCGATGGATGATGAGGCTGAAACTGGTTACTTAATACTTCTTCCACTTCTTTATTCGAGTAAATGTTCAAAAAAGGCAGCTTAATCAGTAAAGGACAATGGTAGATGGGGCTGTTGAAGAATGCTTTGTTTGTGCCTATTTTGAGTGAGACAAATTTATGTAAGACGAATACTGTGTTTAGAGAACCATTTGGTCAGGGTGAGAATGAGATATGTACAAAGATAATTATTTGTATTATATGAAATTATTTGTCATGAAGGGCAGAGTGTCCTAATTAAACAGATGATTTAGATTAAGGTATTTTTTTTAAATTAATCTTAGATCTTACACAAATAAATACACTCTATAAACTGTGCTTGCATTGATTTCACTGCTAGCTTTTCTTATAAAAATAAAGAACTAGGAATAATGGATGTGTCCCACAGTGATGTGTTAAATGGTATACAATTTAGAAATCCCAGTTCTAAATCTCATAAAATTATCTTCCACTCAGTTTTATCAGCTGATAAAATTATTCTTACAAAACTTCATTCTGCATTTCTTGGATACAAATGTGGTGAGCTAGAATGGTAAAACATATACCAAACCTGCATTTAATAATGCATGTATGCAAGAAGGATGAGATCCGGTACTGTTTTTGGCATGGGTATAGGAAATGCATGTCAGCTGGTAATATGACTCATTCATATCTGAAGAAAAATATGTCAAAGAAAAATATAGTGGCATTAAAAGACTAATCTACAGTAATCTATTCTGGGGGTAGGAGGGAGCTATTCCTAAAAACCAAAGCGAATTGATTTCTTTGGTTCGTGCCTTGAAAAAGTCCTCTGGAATAACAGTCATGAAATCTGGAATTTGGAAGTAAGGCTAGAACATGTGCTTCTTCAGCCTTTAGTTTTTTTCCAAATCATAGTAAAAATGATTTGTTAAGCAAGTCCCCCATGGATTCCTCCCTAAAGGCAAAATCCATACTTCCCATGCAGTGAGTTGTCTGCACAAATGGTAGATATGTCAGAGATGCTCTGTCCATTCATGCTCTCTAAAAGCAAAGTGCCTGCTAGTTCGCCTCTGAAGATAATCTTCAAGCAATGTCCATCTCCTGTTAAAGTAGAGTGATACAAGCTACATCTTCAATCACCCCTATTAGCCATGCTAGCTAATCTGATTAGAATGAGGTCCAGGACTATGTGGAGATTCATGATTTACCCTGGTAAAATGTGCTTATTGGTACTATTGCTACTATGGAGAACAGCTCCCCTGCCTTTTAATTAGAATATCCCATCTATTCTTCCTAAGAATAACCTTTCAAGATTTTCTGTCTTATTAATTCCTGTTCCATAAGGAATGTAAACTATTACTATACAGTCATGGACAAATCAAGAGAAATGATAATGCCATGTAATACTGCAATAATAAGGCCACACTTGGAATACTGTGTACAGTTCTGGTCACCATGATACAAAATAAAATGCCAAGACCCTAGAACAGGGGTACCCAACCCCCCAGTCCATGGACTGGCACCAGTCTGTGGCATGCCAGTAACTGGGCTGCGCAAACAAGCAAAGCTCATCCACAAGATGCAGGCAATATGCGAAAGCACCCCCTGTCCAGTCGATGGAAAAAAACCTCTCTCCATGGAACCGGTCCTTGGTGCCCCAAAAGTTGGGGGCCTCTACCCTAAATATTTGCAGAGACGAGCAATAAAAATGATAAAATCTCTGGAGGCTAAATCATATGATGAACAGTTGAGGGAGGAAGGTATGTTTATCTATGAAAGAGAAGAATTAGGAATGACATAACTGTTTTCCAGTTTTTGAGGGGCTGCCCAGAGAAGAGGGACTGGCATTGCCCAAAGCATCAGAGAGAGAAACAAGAAATAATGGGTGGAAGATTGTTAAAGAGAGATCCAACTTAGAAGTAAGGAGAATTTTTCTGACATTAAGCACAATTAATCAGTGGAATAAATAGTCTCCCAGACTTGTGGATGCTTTATCACTGAAGGTTTTCAAAAAAAAAAAAGACTGGACAACTGATTGACTGGGATGATATAAAGTTTCCTGCCTTGAGCAAGGTGTTGGACTAAAATACCTCTAACGTTCCTTTCAGCCCTATGATTCTATAATCTATGTTTTAGTTTTGTTAGTTTTCCCTTCTTCTTTTTGTCTGCAATTGTAGTGGGGCTGTCAGCAATAATATTAAGGGGAAGTTATGCAAGTTTCATTTTTCTTTAAATCAGAAACAGTCAAAATGCAGTAGAGTTGGAAAGAAGCAGGCTTAACATGATCATATTTTTAAATTTTGAATAAGGTGATGTGATAAAGGTGATGTGAAAGTTTCCTCTCATCTGTCCTATAAATTTAACCTTTTTTTTGGAAACTCTAAAGTAATCCCTCCATTTCCAAAAATGGGCTGGCCCAAATCCAGAAGGTAGCCTTGCTCTAGAGCAGGGGTGTCCAACCTTGGCAACTTTAAGACTTGTGGACTTCAACTCCCAGAATTCTGGGAGTTGAAGTCCACAAGTCTTAAAGTTGCCAAGGTTGGACACCCCTGCTCTAGAGCAAAATAACAATGGGGAATAGGTGAGGTGAGTTGTTTTTTTACCATGAAGTGGCATATTTTTACCATGAAGGCACATATTATTGAATGAGTCACATGTCATATCTCCAAATAAGATGAGATATTAATTATACATTAGAATTCAACTGAAAATGCAGTCAAGTTTTGACATAAACATTTAAAATCCGTACTAAGAGTTCCTTAAAAAATAAGATATATCCGGGACAAATTATGGGAAAGCAAATGTTCAGAAGATCATGGATTCTGAAGAATAAGTAAAGAAATGCAATTAATGTGAAAAGAAAGGGAAATGTGGGTGCCTCTTTCTGGCACCTGACTGGTTCCTCTGCATTCTGGTAACATTTAAGGGAGAAGTCTGTGACGTTGAAAGGTAGATGAGGGAAAATGCAGTTAACTTTCTCTGTAGATGAAGTTTGCAAATGTGCAGGCATTAATTAATCACAGCGTTTGTGTTTAAAACAGTGAGTTAATGGTTTCACACATGCAGTCTTCTATAGAAGTCCTATTTTGGGAGCAGGAATGATTTCCAATTTCATGCCTGCTTCTCCTTTGACTTTGTGGGAAGCTGGCAGGGAGCATTGGAAATCACAATCACATGATCATATTAGCGTGGCAGTGCTGCAGTGGCCACAATTTTGCCAATGCAACTGGTGTGAGGATCCTTAAAATTTCAATTACACGGGAGTGAATTTTATCAGCATTCTTTCAGTTAGTGGATTTCAGGTCCTTGATTCAAAAATTATTGTGCTATCATGCACAGTTTGGAATAATTAAAGGTTACAAACAGATGAGCAGGCAGGAGAGTTTTAGTACTATATAGATTACCAGCATCTTGAACTGAACTTGCAAGCAAACTGGCAACCAATGTAGCTCACAGAGCAGAGGTGTAATGTGTGCTCACATACTGTGCTGCTACACTTTGAAAAGTTGAAACTTCCAGGTGCTCTTCAAGGGTAGCCCCACGTTATATATTGGTCATGTGGAACTTTAGTTTTGCTGAAGGTTATATATGCTGTTTATGTTGTGTTCACAACATTCACATGCAAGGGTGGGATTCTACCAGTTCGCACCTATTCTCTAGAACCGGTTGTTAACATTCTAAGCAGTTCGGAGAACCAATTGTTAGAAGAAATTATTGGCCTAATCCTGTAAGGAAGGCAGGAAGGAAACATTCTGGTGTTGCTTACAGAAACTGCCTCTCCATTAACCCTTATTATATTCTTGGCAGGACTAGACTTCCTGTCTCAGGAACTTCTCTGGAGTTATTTTCCCCTCCTTTGCTGGTACTTTGCTTGTGTGGAGTGACCATTCAAAGTTACAGTGGCACTTAAAAAAAGTGACTATGACCAGTTTTCACACTTACGGCTGTTGCAGCATCCCCACAATCATGAGAGGCCAGGCGAGGAGATGCGTGTCTTGATGTGAGTGATATTGAGTTGGCCACGCCCAGCCAATAACATGACCACCAAACCACGCCTACCAACTAAGCCATGCCCACAGAACCAGTTGTTAAAAAATTTGAATCCCACCCCTGTTCACATGTATAAATGCATTGCAATCTACAGATATTTCTTTGTGAGAAAAAATGTTAATAAATGTTTCAGAGGCTCTTGGGTGTCTGTCTATCTATATATGTGGATAATAAATTTTCTAAAATTAAATTAAATAAATAAATAAACCTCTAGCAAAGTAAAGCAGTTGGGAGAGGATCTTTTCTTCCATATTCCTGTAGGACGTTAACTATCAGAGATAACCATGGATTAATAAAGACCTTCACACAAACACCCCCACAAAAGCACCCTAGGTGTTTAGTAATAATTTTTCACATCAGAAATTAAATCAAGGAAAGCAATTCAGAAAAAAATAATACTTACAAAACTATTGTGAAAGAAAGTTTATAAAGAATTGTTGTAAAAGGAACAGAAGTAGAAACTAGCACACAAATACAAAACCAAAACTATTTAGCTGAAATATGGTGAAGGCCATAAGAAGCTTTGAAGATAACATGGCAATGTTTCTGAATGTGAACATGAAACAAAATATAATGATAAAACTATAACTCTTAATTTACAGGTCTTGCTAGTGGAAAAAATGAAGCAAAGAAATTTGGCTTGACATCTACCAAGTCATATTCACAAGAGGTGGACTCAGTAGGTGTACAACCAGTAGCCCAGTCTTTTCTGGCCTGGTTAAATTATACTTCTCCGGTCAGTACATTGTCACCTCCTATGGATTCCAGGCTTATTAAGATCAATACAGTCACCTCACCAGGAGATCATGCAGGTCATCTTCTCCAATCAATTAAGTTTAATCCTACAATAGGAACCATACTAAGCGCTGAACATATGGATATCACATTTAATTGCTCGATCGATGTTCCCAAGTCACTGGTCAGCCAAGACTTCCCACCTATTACCTTGTGGAAGAATGGGAAGGAAATTCTTGACGTTAGCAGCCACTATTACCAGTTTGATGATAATGAATTAACCACTATGAAAGCTGCTTTCAGGTAAATCAATGTTTATTCCATTTAATTTTAATTTTTAATTTTTTTCTGGAGTTAATAATTATTGAATGTTAGAACCCTAAGATTACAGATGATTTTCACATTTACATTTGGAAGGCACACCAGATTTAAGAAATCTAATTTTAGCACTATTGTAACAGAGTCAAATATGAAACAAAATGGGGACAATGAGTGAATTGATTTCATTCTCTCCTTATCCTAAATAGTGGAACATTTATTTCCTGAACACCCTTGAAGAGATTCAGAAGCTACAATGCAGCAGCAAGTGTTCTCTTGCTAAAATATTTTTGTACCTTATGGGATGAATGCATTTGCACTCATTTGCAAAGGAAAGATTATCTAGAAATGTATTTAGAGAGCTTCCATTACTTTGAGTTTGGATTGTGTGAGCAGATGCTCCCCTTTTAATGGCATGTGGAAATGACCTTAGGAGATAGGAAGAAGAGCCCTAGCCTAAACAATGGTCTGATAAACAAAATACGGGTCTGAAGGAGGAGAGGTGATAAAAATGTCTCAGAAGGAACCTTCCCTAGTTTTTCAGAGCACAAAAGTGAGGGATGCAAGAGGTACTTTCAGACTTGCAATATTCTGTTAATGTAACCTTACAATAAGGATAGAGCTAGTAGTCTTAGGTGTGCTTCTTATCTGGACTATTTCAAAAGGCTAACAATCCTCTATTACCCATACATCTTTCCCCTCTCTCTATATATTAAGCAAAATGAAATCTCAACCCATGAGATTCATAGAGTAACAAGTTCATCCCAACCCATGAACTTGTTACTCTCTTGTTACTCTGTCTAGCCCATGAGGCTGCCTGAAGGCCACATGTTTAAAACTATCTTGCTCTTGCTCCTTTAGTACAGCTAATGAGAGTTGCACAGTCCATTTTGGGACTATGAAGAATGAGGATACACCCCAGTATTTCCACTACTTGGAAACATTTTTAAGTGCTGAGAATTCTCTTTTTTAAAAAAATAATTATTTCCCTTGTGGATTGCCTTCCTACAATATTTATTTTTAATGAACCTTAAAATACTGCAGCATTTATTTCAGTATGAACAAGGAATACCAGAGTCTTGACTAAGTCAAGAACGAACACTGATGGCCTTATAAGTCTTTTTTCTCTCTTCCTTTTCTTCTATAGTATACCCAATGCTCAGCATTCTGATAAAGGGTCTTATAGCTGCAAATTGACAATTGAGAATGTGGAAATTGAATCAGATCCTATTTTGGTTTTGTTGGAAGGTAAGTTTAGATCGGGAATAAGTACTTGTTGGCTAAAGTGGGGTGATTTTGCAAAACAATCTGACAGTGATAATTCCTGGAGAACCAGAGGTAGAGGAGAAATGGATTAAACTAAGACAGGGAAATTGTTTATAGAATAAGTAAGGAGGTGGGTGGCTGAGGTGCTTCTCATCACACTAACTCATTGAAGATATTGAGACTCCCTCTCTCTCCCTCCCTCTCCCTCCCTCTCTCCCTCTCTCCCTCTCAGCTCCTAGAAAAAAAGTAGAAATTGACTCCCCCTTGCCCCTCTACATAGATGCTACTTACTACAACTTCTAACACCCCTCATTTTGGTCTTTGTTGTCTAGATAATTGTAATATAGCATCACTTAGGAAAACACCATATTTCTCACATCTGTTCTAGCTGGAAGGGAGAAACTCCACTGGCAGGTGGTATTGTTTTTAAATGCAAAAACGTATCATTGTCTACATTCTTATATTTTCCTTTGCCAGGGAAGAGATAGAAATATAGTGGTATTACCTGAATGATAGAGATTACTTTGGTTGCCCCCGAGATATTTTTATTCTCTTAGACAACATCATTGGTTACATACTGGTCAAGAGAACGGAGACCAGTGTCTTCCCACTTTAGTGAGCAAGTAATTAATGTAATCTAACACGTATTCAGAGTACACTTCGAGCTCATTTCTGTTACACACTTAGAAATCACTGCCTTGTTAGGTTAAATGGATTTCTAAAGCAAACTTTGGGACTTTAACATTTATGGATTCCAACTCCCAGAATTCCGTAGATAGCATGCTGGCTAGGATATTTGGGGAGTCTACACATCTTAAAATGGTTGAAGTTGAGAAAACTGACTTAAAGTAACTTTTCTCAGGCTGGAGCCCTACAAGTGTGTTCATTGACTGGGAATACTGGAAATTGTACCTCCTAATGCACCAGTTTGAAGCTGTTGGGGAGCCTTAGGCTGTGACAACATAGTATATTACATTTGATTATTTGCTCCAATAACGGGCAGGAAGATTTATCACCAATCCATGAACTTCCCACTTCAGATTTGCTTAATAAGAAACCAAGAGCTAGTATTTGATGCTTGATCCATGGAGGATGTTGACTTGAACCACAGGATACTTGACTGGGCACATCTAGATTGAGTAAAAAAGGCCTTGGGGAATCACTGTGACTCTCCACCTTAATGCACAATTTCCATCTAAGTAGACAGATTTTTTTTAAAAATTCTATAGTATGAAAACGGCATGGATGGCAGCCAGATTAGCATAAGACTGATAGAAAAAGCAGGTTACAGAAGATCTTTGATGGACTATCAGATTGATCTTTATAATCACTTATATTATCTATTAATTAAAATATGGAGGCAAAGAGGAAATGCTCTAAAGATGCACAGGTTTCAGATTTTGTACATATCTCAATTGATATGGATAACGAATGGGAGTAGCAAGATTACTACTCCATCCTTCTCAGTTGCTTAATTCTTCCATGCAATGAAGATCAGTGGAAGTTATTTTGAAAGTACTATTTTTGGGCTTAAGTTTCAACTGCTCCTATCCGTTTTGGCTGGCGCACTTAACTTTGTTGTTAATAAATCAATAAATAAAAATAAACAATTCCAGCACACCATTAGTCATTGTGCTGAGTCTCAAGAATCTTTCCTCACCCTGTTTTTTAAATAACTCACCATTTTAAAAATATGTTCACCAATGGATTGCTGAAACTTGGACACAATACCAATTGGTTCAATAATCATTCATATATGTGTATATTTTCTTTTTTTAAAAAAAAAAAAACAAGTTTTATTAAAAATTTCAACAACAAACAAATCATTACATATTTAAATCTTTTCCTGTCTTTCTACAAAAATTTCCCCAATATTCTCATAAAACACAAACAAACACAAACAAACACAAAAAAATCTTTTAGTAAAGTACCTTGGCCCCAGTTACCTCTCTTTGCATGGGCAGCGCATATCACTCTTCACAATTTTATCTTATTTAATCCATCTTAATTAAATCATTAAATTTATATCTTTTGCCCATTCATTATCCCTCTATCTCTTCTTATAATAAAAAGAATTTCTCCTGAAATCACTAATCAGAGTATGATGCCTTTCTATCCTCCCCCTAAGTTAGTAAAATTAACATTCAACATAACAAATACCCAATTCGGTTCTGCTTGGTACATTCTATCCACCAAAATTGTTTAAATACATTGTATCCTCCTTTCCTTCAATATTTTATTACATTTTAAAAACCAATCATTATTAAAAACTTCAACATTTTAATTTCTTATTAAATCTTAAACCATTCTAATTTACTATTTCAAATATAAATGTTACAATACCATCTTCTGTACCTAGCAGAATCTTTCTTACAGAAGTTTATATTTCATCCTTTGTCCCTAAAAAAAATTCCTCTTCTCCCATCCAATTTTAAAACTTTGAGGCTTTTCTCCGTCTTTCCCCTTTCTTTCTTCCCCCACCAAATCTTCCTACCCCCCCTTCTTCTTCTAACCTCTGCCTTGCTGGGATGCCTTCTCTGTTGTGTTCCCTTTTTCTCTTGTTTGCTATCATTATATTTACTTTGCATCATATTTTTCTCTTTCTCAAATGTTTTTTTAGATCTTAAGTCCTTCATTTTCCTTGCTCTCTTCCTTCCTTCTTCCTTAAATAAGTTTTGGGATTCAATAAAGATGGCGTCTTCGTCTTTTCCTTGTTGTTGTTCTTCTGGAACAACTTCTGTTTCCATCTGTTCCATTGTCTGTTGGTAATTGACCAGCGCCATTTCTAGAAATAGAAAAGCTTTTTCCATACCATCTTTGCAGGCTGCTTTTGTTTGCTCATATTCATCCCTCAGGTCTTCAAAAGGGAAAGCCATTATAAATAAATCTTTTCTTTTCTTTATTCCTCTTTCTTCTTACACCAACCAAATATTCCGAGAGAAAGGTAAAACAATCCCAAAATCCACAATCCTCAATAAATCCAAGCAAGCCAAAATTCCCCCTTCCTCTTCCAGGGGTGGTATCAAACAAATACAAAAAGAGTCCAAATCTATATTTTAAAGCCTTATTAAAATTATATTTCTGTCCTCAAGTCTTCAAGGCATCTCCTCCAACAAGATCCAAATTTATATATTTTCTTTATCCTCTCCCTTCCGGCTTAATTCCGTCGGGAGGGAGAGTAAACTTTCCTTTCAGCACCTCAAAATAGCCGCTTTTTTTTCTCTTGTGGAAAAAATCATCAAAAAACCATCTTTTCCAGGAATTAAATTAGATAAATCTCAAAGCCCTGGGTCGACCAAGAAGAACTTTCACTTTCAATAACTTTCTCTTCTTCCTCCTGCGCATACTTGCCCGGCTGCCGACTTCTTTGTGGCGGCCATTACGGACCGCCGCTGCACCGTCCTGGTAAAAGGGGGTTCTGCTGGCCAGGGAGGGGGTCTGCAACACCCCCAGACCCTTCCTCCGGATCCCCCTTACCTTCAGCTACCCCTGCAGGGCAGCCTTGCTCCGCACCCGTCCGGGTCGGAGCCCCAAAACGGCTAGCGCGGCAGGGATCGCGCAGCTTCGCGAATCCCTACCGCTCGCGAAGCCGACAAACCGGAAACTCATGTGTATATTTTCTTATGTGATTTTTAAAAATAGTATTTAAAAATACCATAATGGAAAATTACCCTATGAAGCATCAAAAGAAGCCACAACCTCCTTGACTGTTGCTTGTTTTAAAATTGCATGGTGGCGGGAGAATTCTGGGAGTTGAAGTCCACACATTTTAAAGTTGCCACGTTTGAGAAACACTGAACTCTTGTGTTTGTCCCTTGATTGTATTAAGGTTGCTTGACTCTAAGGCTGGACAGCTATTAAATATGGGACTTATTTTTTAAAATAATTTTTTATTACATTTTCACAAATACAAATCTCAATCATGTCTGTGACAGCATTTTGGTATCGACAAATATGTACATCTTATAGTTCTTATTATATACATTTTATTTATACATTAACAGATACCTTGTGTGATTTATTATAAGTATCTATAATTATTTCTATCTTATATACCTTATTGTCTATATGTCTACAATAATATTCTCTTAAGGCCTCATATTTTAATTACATTAGTCCATTTTTCCTACTTTCTATATTTATTTTCTAATCATTCATACCATTTGTACCATTTAAATAAGGGACTTATTATCTCAAGTCCAAGACCCCTGAATGATACTGCAATGAAAAATTGTTGTACTTAATGCTTAAAGCTTAATCGTATAAGTCCAGTCTTTCCAATCTGAGGAAATCCAGATGTCATGGCTTACAACTCCTGTCACTCATAGTCCTGCAATGGAGAAATTCTAATGGGTTGTAGTTCTACGTGTCTCTTGTTTTCAATGTCTTAGTAGTGCTTTTACTTCTGCTGCCTGCAGGACTGCCACATTTCATTAAGCAGCCCCAGGGGTTGAATGTTACCCGAAATGAACCATTCAATCTCACATGTCATGCTGTGGGGCCTCCTGAGCCTGTTGAGATTCGCTGGCATTGGAACAGCAACCAAATCCCAAAGAAAACTGACATTTCTCCATCTGTGCTGAGCATGCCAGGTGAGTTAAATCCATTTGTCCTGACACAAATTTAGCATGATCGGTTTGCTAATCTGCATTGGAACAGGGGAACATTAAATATAACTGAAGCATGTAATTGGTCATATAGCTGAGTCCTGGACATTCTGTCTTGTTTTTAAAATGAGCAGATTAATGATACATTTATTTTAAAAGGAGTAGCCTAAATGGACTAAAACAATTATTTTTTTAAAAAACTTGCCTATTGCTATAGGGAACAATTCAACAACAGAAAACTTAAGAGTTTTTTTAGAGTCAGCATGTGTGTATGGGCGTGTGTGCATAATGGTATATAATATATACCCTGTTTCTCCAACAATACGGCCTCCCCCAAGAGGAAGTCCCAGCATGTTTTATAGGCATGAAATGAAATTAAGCCCCTCCCCCCCCAAATTAAGGCCTATATTAAAACATGCGAAATGGGGGGGAATGGTGGGGGGGCTTGCCATTAGGAAGTACTTTTGTTGCACACCTGGATATGGTGCTGCCTGCGTTGACCCCTATACGAAGTGCCCCACCAACACTGAGGTCAACATCCAAGCCGTTGCCGCTCGCCCACCCAAAGATGCAAGGGGGGGGGAATTAAGTCACCCCCGAAAAGACGGCCTAGCCATTTTTTCAGGGCTCAAAAAAAAATAAGACCCGGCCTTATTATATGAGAAACACGGTAGTATGTATTGTGTGCGGATGGAAAGAGATATTTTATATGAAGAAGATCCTAGTTTTAATTAGTGATGTGTTGTAGTTAAAAAACTAAAAGGATATTTACTATGCTGTGAGATTAAAAAGATGTTTTAAGATGGATGACTATACAAATGTTAGAAATCAATCTATCCTTTAGGCTGTTATAGTTGAATCCATTAGTAGATAATGGATTTAGCTAGCACTTTAACTAGTGATGCTACTACTATCAGAGTGGGTATTGGTAGATTGATATTTAACCCCATCATTTGTGATACTACTTCAGTATTTGGCAAAATCTGTTCATTATATCAATTAAAGATGCATTTAAGTGAAACAGTATAGAATGATAGCTCAGGTATTAAATTTGGCGATCTGTTCAAATGTACCCTCACTTTGGAACATCAGATTATAATTTTGGGTTCATCAATCTGGTAGGATTGTTATGGGGTTAAATGAAGGGAGATCCCTATGTAAAATGGTGAGAGTGCCTGAAAAAAGGCAGAATATAAATCTAGGAAATAAACAATAAACATGTACTATGAGAAATGATTTTAAAACCCTAAGAAACAAATCAAGTTTTCAGTAACTGGAGATAATTGGAAATTGTGTAGCTTCACAATTGAGGTTCCTCAGAGTTATTGCTGAAACTTTTTATATGTGGGGCTCAAAATATTTTTAAATAAGTTCAGAAAATCATACTATTTCCTTGATTTGATGGATTGTTTTAAACGGTATTATCCTTCCAAGTGGCTTATTTGTTTTGTTTTTTTAAACTGAACCTTTGAAAAAGTTATTTCAGTAGTATAGAATGAACATTGCCAACCTCAGTTTTTTTTAAAAAATGTTTAGTTTCTTAATAAATTATCATCTGATGCAAACGTTTGACAGACACTAGGGATTGCTTTTGTATACATTGGGGATTCTTCAGAATTCAGCCATCATCAGGCTTCTGTATAGTGTTCATCTGTGAGTCAGGCTTTTACAGTGGTTTCAGATTTGAATTTGGGGCAGCCTATTGCTGTGCCAGAATGGTTTTTTCTTCATCCTGATTGGTTGAGAGTCTTGGTCTGTGTTTATTGGTCTTGGAGTTTGCTGTGTTCTGCTTGATTGGTGTTTCTAATATCTTCTGTCTATTTTGTGGCTTTTTTTTGTCTTGGTAGGCTGGCAACATTGTGTTCCTGTATTGAAGGCTTTTAGTGCAGGTTGGCTCCAAGTAAATGGATGGCTATCATTTGTTAGGAAGCTAGGTTTCATCTGGGTGCCTGGTTGGGGTGTGTTTGAGCTGGAGGTATCAGGAGGGATCTGTTTGTGCCCAGGTATTTGCCTGGCTTGTGGTGTGGAGATTTTTTTGTTTGTGAGTGCAGGCTTCCAAATGATTGACAGTCTGGTGGAATCATCTCTTCTGTTTATGCTTTCTGGTCTTTTTTCAATCTCTATGGCTTCTCTGATGATTCTGTG